AAACTTGCTGTTCTGTGCGTTTCTGTGTACTAAGCGCGAGTGTGTGATAAGAGATTAAATACTGGTTCCAGGGCCCATTTCATCTAATCACCGTGTCGACCAGCCGATGCTCATTACACGTCGTTCGAAAACGACTCTTTCTTCTTTGTAAAAAGGCCGAGAGTGTCGAAAATGCTACAGAAATGAAGTTTATATAATATAATAGCTACCGCTCGTGCATATATGTCGTGAATTGTGCAATATCTCGTGGTATACCCGCCTCCGGCGGTGGTTTATTGCTTAAATAATGTATTGTTGTTGTGAATATGGCAGGCTTAATTTGTAGTCAAGTTTTCACATATTCACAATTCGATACTTTGATCACCAATACATATCCAGGTTACAGCATGAAAACACAGAATACAAATCTAATCGTTTTTCGTTATCTCGTGAGAGCACCTCGTGATAGTATCACGTTATCTGATAATTTTGTGATAGTATCTGATGATCTCGTGATAGTAACTGGCGATTTCGTGATACTATCTGGTGATTCCCGTGATAGTATCATTGTATCTACTGATCTAATGATAGTATTCGGTGAGGTCGTCAGCTCTTGCTTGTTTTTTATGATCTGGCCATAGTATATGTCGATTATGTCATGGTATAATGTGATAGGGTCTGGTTATCTCGTGATAGTGTATGATGATTTCGTGATAATATCTTGTGATAGTATCTCGTAATATCATATCGTGAAAGTATATTGTAATAATTCGATACTAATATTTGTCATATTAAAAACAATTCTACAGCAATGTATTTATGACATCAATTTTATATAAAAAACACTGCCATCCTCTTGATAATTTGCTGAGCGAAAGGTTCCGCCAAATATTATATTAAAAACAAATAAATGTATCCACTTACAATAAGTGTCCTAACTCCAAATTATCAATTTGTATTGATCTAATTATTGATTTTTTGATATTCATTGCAGATATTTTTTGTGAAACCATGACAATACTCTTTGCCAATGAATTATGTATATCACTTATTGCAAATCATATTTCTGGTATTATTTTTATTTGACAATCAAATTGTTACGTGCTGTTTATTTAAATCTACTGCTAATTCTTTCCAGATTGCATAGTGGTTTGTAAATGATTGCCAAATGCACTTTGGTTCAAAACACCTTCCTTGCCCACCAGTATTTGATTCCTCCTTGGACGATGACGAAATAGAACACACAGGCTTTTAGAAGAATGATTATCGTACACTAATTTTGTCATAATTGGTAGGTGTTGACTCAACTAAATGCCAAGGTGATTTTTTGCATGAATTTGTGAACAAAATAACTGTCTGATATTCAACAGTTTGGATATAAAAAGGACATTCAAATTGTAATTTTCTTTTCAAGTTCTAAATGAACCTTGGGACATTATCAAAATATTTTGCGCTTTGACCCATTAAACTTGAAAAGTACTGAAAACAAAATGACCACCATTTATTGAATACTATTAAGTTAAGGAATTATTCTAGTTTAGTTTATTCTTGTATAATAAGTGAACGTTGACCTCTCATGACCCTGAGAATAGACAAAAATCGAATTGACAACCATGTAACACATAATAAGAATATAGGTACATAACTTGTTTTTATTCAACAGAATACTATATGATACAAACATATGATACAAGCGAGCGTATGTATTTGCCCGGAATGTAGAATGCTGAACATATAGGGCAGAAAGCAAATCAGGCACACCAAAGTTTAAAGAATGAGATGGGATATGGTTTGAGAGGGTGTGAAGCGGAGATAATGATGTCCACGATGTACAAATAGTCATCTTGTAAGGGTGTGATATGAATCTAGGTAACATAATCCACATTGCATTGTATAATCATATAGAAATTAAGGTCTCACACACCAGTCCTATGGGACTGGCATTTTAATGTCAAAGAGAAATTGTATTAAAGTACATGCGATCTAATGCATTAATACCATAGTACTTCCAATGTAGATCCATCCATGGTTCAGTCGTCGGAGTGAATCAATAAAATTCATTAAAATTATAAAGAGTAATTCGAAATTGTATATTCATAGGCAGATTTTTACCATTTTAAACCTTTTGAAAATCCATTGAACTGAAACAAATTTCCCATCCCATGATCTCCCTGTACCATAATAAATTGTGCATGTTCGATCCCAGCGTTCAATAATCTGTATAGAAAACTTCACAATGTATTCGAAACATCTTGGAAGTTTCTCAGGGCCCATCACAGCTTTCCCACAGTCCTTTGTATGTAACCCTGTAGTAACATTTTTTTCCCACAGGGCCTAAACAGGAAGGAGATCACAGTATTTGAGAGCTGTTCATAAATTGACGAATCATAGAAAGCTCATCAACACCAATGAAATATTTGATGTTGTACATAACAAAGGAGCTTAGCACTAAACACTGCACTGGAAGAGTTGTAAGTTGTAGTTAATATACCTATGCTACAGAACTGGTCAAGTACCACACAAAACGTCATGGAAAATGTTTATGTATTTGATTACATACTAAGTGGAAACACACTGGTTATTGTTACTTATCCAAGTAATTGTGATATCGAGCGTAAATATGTTCAAATTAAGAACAAAATTAAAACATGATGACAGTTACAAATTGTAAATCACAAATCTGGGAATATGAATTTCTCTCGAACAACAGGATGACCAATATATAGAAGCCTAAACTAAAGATGTTCAACCAAACTGTTGAAGCAGGCATCAGTTTGCATTGTTTCCTAGCGTGTGATTTGTTCGGCGCTCCCGGAAAGCGACGATACAGTACAACAAAGCAGCCACAAGATTACATACAGCGCATAGATAAAATACTATCCTAAAACTGCCAGTGCTATCATATATCCAACCTGTCGGGATAAAAAACAATATGGCATTTTCAGATATATTATTAGTAAACCAAACATTATTAATCGAATATATATATATATATATAAATATCAAAAGATCTTTTTCACTAGTAAATGACACACTCACTCAACAATAAGTGTGGTTGATTACCAAAGTAGCGTGCAACTAAGCTTGGCTAAGCTTGTTGTACATACATTCAAATTACTATAAAAAAATTGATGCTGAAGAATATATTGGGCAGTCAGGCGTGTAGGAATTAATGTTTGCAAGCCTGCTGTTCTGTTGTCTTCAGGATGCAGCCTGATGTATGTTGCTTTCTTGGTTGGTCAATTATGGATACAATTTGTATGGCGAGTGGAAGATGTGTTGATTGGTTGTTGGTCTAATTGTTTAGAAACCTGTAGCTTAAAATGGTATGGACATAATGTTATGTATTTATTACATTTTTAGATCATAAGAACTATAGCCATTGAATATTATGTCAGAATTTTTTTTTGAAAAAAATGTATTAATTAACCCTGGCAATATTTCAATTTGTATTGAAAGCAAATTGTGCCACCAAATATATTCGTTGTTATGCTTGTAAAGTAAATTCTTAAAATGTATTGAAGCTTAAATATAAGGATATGAATTGTAAAATACGAAGAATAGCGTCCAACAATGTAATTTGTATTTGGTAACAGTCAAGTATTATTGACACTCACGATCTTAGTTTGGGGTAGTCATTTTAAAGTAATAGCAATGGCTTTTGATATGGTGTATGTTAATGTATTTTGCGTTCATTTTACAAGAAGTAGATTTTTAACAACATACAAGTGTATTGTAACAACGGCTTAAGTGACTGTAAATTCTACCATATCCTCTCTCCACTCCACTATTGCTACTGGTCTACCCCTTACTTGATGCAACTATGCTCATTGGCAGTATGCCTGTGTATAATGTGTGTATGCCCTTGTAAAGAAAAAATCCAGTGACACCAAGCGAAATATACTATACAAATTATAAAGCAAATTAGTTACAAATCTGCTGACCTTGCCCTTTATTATACAATATTTCATTTATCAAGGGTGTTTTGATATGAATATGCATTGTTCTAATTAATTTTGAATACCAACATGTTTTAGAAATGAAACAGCAGTGGACAAGCAGTCTACAAATAGTCTTACAAAAACATTGTTGCCTAATTTGAACTGATAAAATAGTAAATATAGTTGTCCAGTCTGAACCCTGTCTACACTATTAAATACTGTCCCACTCATCATCAAAATTATACCATTTACCATCTGGAGCTTTGATCCATGCATAGTAATGAGATGATGTTGATTGATAAACTATGACTGCATGCAGGTTAAATACTCTGATACCACAGAGATCACCACTCAATTCGACATACTAGATGGGAAAAATAACTGATGTTTAATTTGTTGTTCATTGTTGTTTGGTCAAAATTAATTCACGCCGTGGTTCACAAAACACACATTACCAGTATTACAGAACTTTCAAGAATAAGAATAAATTTTGGAATAAATTTATGCAACTTAGTAAGTTAATTATCTGTAAACATACGAGCCACTGTCACGTGGCCACGTGTTAATTATAATAAGCTGCTTTTCAGTCGGGAGAGATAAATGTTCATAAGGTTCATCTTAAACTGGGCCTGTTCAATGACATACAATGCATTTAAATTATTTTAGGTAATATGCCAGAAAGCCGGTAAAACAGACATGTTACATAGCCCCAAAAAGGGATGTTGCTTCTGCAGCAAAATGCAATACATGTCAGCACTTTTCAAGCAATTTGCCCTAGAATGTCAGACAACAGATAACAATCAATGTCAAGAATTCTCGCCAGGCAAACAAATTTATTGAAATAATAACTATAAATTGGATAGATAACTAGACATATTTTCTCGAAAGGGATGCACGACACATAGCGTTATATCACAAACTGGCTACTCAGGAAAAAATAAATTAAAATAATATGTGGGTTGAGATTCGTATTACCAGTTAGAAAAACGAACATCAAAGAGAATTCGTGTACTTGTGTGTTTAAATTCGATAGGTTGAAAGAAACATATCTTACCTCCAAACTGTGAACCTAGAACTCCCGCAATTCCAATTACTAATAATGTCATTGAATTAGCAAGAGAATAATTTGTTACTCCTACCATTATTTTCATGCAAACATAATGTAGAGGAAAGTATATCCCATCACAAGCTCCAATAAATACACACGCAACAATCAACACAGGGAACATGGTTGTTGAAGCAATTGTTAGTTGCGCAATTCCCGTAGTAAGCATAAGGATCGGCAGAATGCAGATTGGTCGTATATAGGCCTTATCCACAATCCATCCTTGAACAAGTCTGGTTGAAAGGCTGGCAATGCCTACTGCTGTAACTGGAAATGATGCTTTCAGTTCTGGGATTCCATTATCAACTGCATAAGGTATGGCGAGTGAGAGTAAAGTTAAAAAACTTATGTTTGCTGCAAACTTTGCCAATATCATCAAGGCAAAATTATGGTTCGTATACAACAGTCGAAACCCCAGGCGTTGAACAATTCTTTTAAAACGGCCATCACTTGTCTCGTTCGTGTTTTTCTTTACTTGTTCTTGACTAGTCACAATGATTGGACGCATAACAGCAGCACATGCCAAAGTATTGGCGTTGATGGCAGATAAAATTATGAACGATCCCCGCCAACCGTATTTACTAACAAAAAACTGAGTCATCGGAGGAAAAATAAAAAAACTCGGGCCACTCCCAAGACAGGCAATCCCAGTTGCAGTTGCAAAATGTTTGTCAAAGTATTTTGACAGAATAGGTAAACACGCGGCTATCAAAATACCATGACCAGTACCTGAATGTATGTATTAGAAAGACAGATAACAGCTATGATTTAGTTAAAACTTCATAAGGACGCTTAAAAACCGCGAGTAAACCCATTGAACTTCTGTACTTAGGTGCTAAAACTATACATGGCAGAAACGCAAGTACCAATTGAGAGAAAATTATGGATTGAAATACAATTGCAGTGCAGTGAATGTGGTACAACAGTTTTGCCTAAGCGTCTTTCTACACACATTAATTGGGGACATGGCAGTGTAGACCGATATAGTGTTGCATACATGCATAGACGTATCATAAACTGCAATATATTTAAGTAAAGAAAGAGCGATTTTCTCTAAAATATTATAACAATTGAATAATTTATGACAATAATACAGACATTACCTACCTGTTATCACCCCGTATGATATGTACAGATAATACATATTGAAAGCAAAGGAACTCAGAAACAACCCAATAGTTGATAATGTAGCGCCTATAAGCATAGCTGGCCTTGTACCATATCTGTCATTTAAGTAAATACCAAGTGGACCTGTCAAAATAGTATATGCATGATCTTTATGTATGATACTAAATCCCATGTTATAGTGTAATAGTGTGAAATTAATCCGAATCAATAGAAATAACAAATATACTTTATACGTACCTATGAAAAACATAAATCCGAAATACAAAGAGGTGACTAAAACGATCTCACCGACAGTATTATTGACCATAGTTGATTTCAGTGCAACGATGAGTACACCGGCATGTGCAAATACTCCCATTGTCAGCATACGAACTGTCAGACTACTACAAATCACAAACCACCCCCATCCACCATCTGGGGGTTTGGCGTACGTCAGTGGTGGGTTTGTGAAACAAGTCATTTTCATACTGTGGTGAGAAAAACATACAATAAGTAAATTTGTCATGCACAACGAACACAGTCACATACTCATCTTCAGATGCGCTATGGTAATAGAACTCATGGAGTGAGGTGGACACTTCTAGAACCAGATGTGGTGATTTGTCACCGATTTCTATCCATACAACATACACAATCATACAACTAGTTTGACAATAACCGTGAACATGTCGTACACAGTGGTCGCCCAGAAGGTCAACTTTGGTCAACAAACTAATCATGCGAGATTCACAATAGCAATATACAATACAAGTTATCTTGTAAGACTTTTACATTTTCATCTTGTTGAAAACCAGTGGCCTGAGTGCTTTGAAGTTTATTATATGAGTACCCTAGGTGGCTTTCCTCCATATTTGTTCATTTCTCCAATTTTATTATTTTGATTAATATTTTGTGTAATTTTAGGTCGAATGGATATGTTTGACTCCTTCTCTAATGCCACTACTTAATTTGTTCATTTCGTTATGAATTTTCTTGTTTAGTCTGTCGATGAAAAATAAAACTAGATATATTACCAGCACAGACAATTATCTCCCGATTATGATAACATATATTGCTCAAAAAGTGTGATAAGTTTTTTGAAACAACAGAAAACCAGTTTGATTAAAAAAAATATACACTCCACAGATCTCTGCGTTCTACTCTTAAAATAAATCATTCGTCAGTGTTAGTCTTGATAGCATTCTATATATGTGTTTTCGTGATTGAACGTAAAGTTCCAGTGTATTATTATAATAACAAGCCATGCATGGTCCAGTCCTCGTTAGTTATCAAAAACAAGATATATAGTTTTGTTTATAGCAATATAGTTAAAACATAAGCATGTCAAAGATATGGATCGGGAAGTTAATGCTTGATTATAATGACTTTTTAAATTAAAATGATTGACATTCAGTCATCTTGTATCTGATCGCCAAACGAGTATTTTTCCATATTGAGAGATATTGCCTTGGAACAGCAATAATTAATACATTAATAATTTTTAATACATCTGTATATCCATAACATGATGTATAATGAATATATACAATTTGAACATGATCAGCCAAAGCATGGCAGAGATATGACACAATAACCGCATTCATTAAAAGAAAATGGCCGTCAGTCGGCCATTTCAAATCCGATCTGAAAGACAAAATGACATGCATCAAGATGCCATAATATACAATTTATGTACCAAATTTGAACAAAGTCCGTCCAAAAACGATCGGGATCCGGTTTCGGAATGCCAGAAATGCTTGATTTTGATGATTTGTCAACACAAAAATGACCGCCATTCGGCTATCTTGATGCAGATAGTTAAATAATTTGATGGTCATATGAATGATATTATGTATGAAGTATGTGTAAAGTTTGAATGTAATGGTCCAGGCATGTCTAAGATAAAGATCCAGACGCACGCACACACGCAAGCTGATCTTACCAACATATATTTATTATATCGACACCACGCAGTCGTTTTTTTTTTTGCACAATAACTCCATATATACACTTATCTGCGGTTCGTGCACTTAAGCAAGTGATCCTACTTATATTTAGTGGTTTATTTATATTTAGGGGACAGTTTTGATTGGCCACTTTTTAATATCTGTAACCAAATACACAATTGAATACAATGCATTTATATATTTGACCTAGTAACAGAATCTAGGTCACTGAGACCAGTCACTAGTGTGTGCTTTGCTGCCAGTTTATTTTTCTTTGACTATTATATTTACTATTATTAAACACGCCAAGTCTGACTGAGCTGTATCTGTTTTTCGGGCCTGTATCCACAGACGAAACTTGGGCAAAGATATAACAGCCAAGTCGAAAGAGAAAAGACAGCCCTAATTGTTATTTGGGAGGAGTCATTGTTTGCCCCTTCGCATATATATGTCTCACATAGCATAGTTTTGGCCACCATTGTTTATATAAAATACTCGGAACACTGCCGACTGCGAGTTAACTAGCTTGTCAACTCATGGCGAAGCCTCTCCTCACACGTTTGCATGGATCTTCACTCTATGGTGCTGGTTCACAAATTCCAACGCCAGGTACTTACTTACCTCAGACTACGTGTACATATCGTGATTAAACGGTTGTTTCAAGAATCGCACGGAACTGTGCACACTCCGTAGTAATCACCAATGTGAAAGGTGATCTTGGTTACTGGTTACTGTTTTTGTTTGACCTTATTGTGGGCGCCCTCAGCCGTCCAATTATAACAGATGTTACTTTTCTCACTCTTTGATGCTGGAATTCCTGCTATTTTCAGATACTAATTACTTATATGGAATCAATTGAAATACAAAATAATCCTTCGTCAAACTAATACAACTGGAGTACAATGGGATTTGATATACAGAATCCATACACAATGTGTGGTAAATGACGGCCAAACGAGTTCAGAAAAGAACGCACATGGGATTCGTGACTTATTATTGCTAGCGTGTTTGCATTTTGTTACGACATTTTATATTAATTAATTTTATAAAATCTGTCTAACTATTGAGTTTTAAATAAATTAAACTATAGTGGGATATTTAAAGTCTGCCAACTTTAGTTTTATCACTGGATGTTTAATGGAAGATAAAATGTCTGCACCGATGTATACGTTTATGGTATTCCACGAAAGTGAATAACAGTTGAGTGTGTAGGAAACAGCATATATACTTTATTTGAAATCTAAAAGTGCGGATTCCATCACCCATTTTGTTCATATTCGAAATAAGTTTATTTAAGTGCGCCATCATGTGCTTACTGGGAGAAACTGTTCATAAATAACATTTGATTGATTGATTGATTGATTGATTTGTTTATTTATTTATTTATTTATTTATTTATTTATTTATTTATTTATTTATTTATTTATTTATTTATTTATTTATTTATTTATTTATTTATTTATTTGTTTATTTATTTATTTATTTATTTAGGAGATTGGTTGATGGCTTGAAATATTCAATTGGGACTATTATTTGCTTACTTGTTTTCATTCTAATTGTGACTAAATGACTACAAAAAGATCAAGGAAAGTATATATTTTTGGAATCGCCAGACTTCAAGCTTTTCAAAAGTGTGTTTTTCATGCCCGTATCTGCATTCTACGATGCGTGAGTAACGCAAAGGTAAAAAATTACTTTTTCTGTAAAATAATTACGCATTTCTGCTGGTGATAAGAAGTTTGTTTTCACTTTTCCTAGTTGTTCAATAGTCTGGTAAATTGATTGTGTCTTGTCAGGTTTATTCAAGCAATGCGTTTTAAAAAGTAGTGTGCTGAAAATAATCCACGAAATAGTTTGTCTGGACACATTCAAGTTCCTCTCATTGTCACCTTAAAGCTGTGAAAATTTGGTGTTAATCCGACCACAATAAGTATACGTTATTTTTTGTTAAAGACCTTGTATTTTGAAAAAAATAAACTCCTAGAAAACGTCCATGAAGTCACAGCAAAGATTTTCAAGCTTGTTTATCGGCACAATCGATTTGTTTCCACTGCAAGGTCTGTTTTAACATGTGTAGGGGCATCCAAATGTGTAAGGCTATTGGAAACCCAAAAAAATAACGAAATGGGATAGCTACAATTCGATAAAACCGGCAGATAAGAACACCAAAATCAATGATTTTTTTCAGTGGCTGTGTGACCTTGTGTCTGACACATTCATATGCAAATGACTAATATGTGAAACAAACAGGGGTGAAGACAAACCACTCAAGTGTTTGGAAACACTCATTGTGTGTCAGAAAGCTACTGATAACACATCCTAAGATTGCTTTGTCTTGAGTTTATCTTTGAAACTCATAGGCACACAGATTAAACCTGTGTTGTTGATTTTGGAAAACACTACTGAGGCTGCCTTGCTTCCCTTCAGAAAATCAACATTGCAACCAACTTACATGACATTCTATGTTATGTTGACTTTATCATATGAAAGTTTATAGTGCATTTCATCAATTAATAAATAAATGTAAAAATCGTAATTTTCAACACAAATAATAGTCTCGCCACCTTAATATTGTTGTATATGTCATTGTCGCACTGGTAAAATATAATTGATTAAAATGCATACGGGTTGGGTTATCTGATACATGTGAAATGTTTAATATTGTGATTGGTTCAATGGCAGTATGCATTATGAATTGGGTTCCAAGAAACTCTGGGTTCGATGCCATAGATGATTTTGAGGAAACATTATACACTCAAATAAAATATTGTGCCTGAAATACAAATCTGTCAAGGAGCTGTGTGAAGCAACTGTCACATAAAAACAGGTTTTGGTTTTCATCTGTCATAGTCTCTACAAAATGAGGAAGTAACGGCTTACTTTCAACAACCTTAAAGTATTTTATTTATTTATTGCGTAACAGTCAAATGACAAAATTGAAAATCTGGTATGAGGGAAAGTTCTGTCGTAATCCTCTAATCGTTACGACAAAGATGGTGTTACTGATTACGTGTACTGAGCACAGGTACGGGACACGGGCCGACAATTTCACGCCCCTCCCGGACTGGTGACCTTCTTCCAAACCCCAAATGCCGCGAGCAACTGTGAACTATGTAATCTGTGTGCTATTGCGTGTGAAGCCATAAGATTTGTAATCCAATTATATTGGCTCACTGCCGTTTCAACTGTTTCTGATTGTGACCAGGGGCGTCGATCATGGGGGGATAGGGGGACACGTCCCCCCACTTTCTGAAGGGTGGGGGACACAATATCAAATGTCCCCCCCACTTTCGAGACCTACCCAAGTATCAATATTAGGCTTATATCATATAGCATATAGCCTTTGTGTAAGGCCTTTGGTTCTGTGTACATGTACTGTACTCTTAATGATCAAGAATGAAAATCCCCAGGTGAAAATCTCTTGATTAACAATAGGCCTATTAAAGTCTTCCTTTACGATAATGGTAGTTTCTTCCCAGCATCGCACGATGGTTTGCAAAACTTTCCTGCACTTCATCAGATAAAAATAACCCGC